TCGCTGGACAATAAACCACGTGGATCAGGCACCATTACGCACATCACTCTCCCCATCACCATTCCCACACTACCGGAGCACCACAAGGAGCTGTCCTTCCACATTGTGACGTCACCCCTTCACCGGATCGTTTTGGGATTGCCCTGGCTCAGACTACACAACCCCACCATCAATTGGATCACCAAGTGGATCACAGCCTGGTCCCCCTCATACCGGAGGACCTGCCTGCCGGTAGTTTGTTGTTCCACGTCAGTGGAGAGTCCGGAGTCCGCCCTCCAGCCCAACATTCCACATGAGTACGCAGATAATAATATAATATGCCATTTAGCAGATGCTTTTATCCAAAGCGACTTACAGTCATGCGTGCATAAATTTTTTGTGTATGGGTGGTCCCGGGGATCGAACCCACTACCTTGGCGTTACAAGCGCCATGCTCTACCAGCTGAGCTACAGAGGACCACAGATCTCTCCGGTGTCTTCTCTGCCTCCAAGGCTAAGTGTCTCCCTCCTCACAGGCCCTGGGACTGCACCATTGACCTGCTGGAGGGACAACACCCCCCGAAGAGTTGCATTTACTCCCTCTCCATAGCGGAGACTGAGGCCATGGAGAAGTATGTGGCGGAGACCCTGAAACAGGGGTTCATCAGACGCGCTACCTCTCCTGCCTACACCAGCTTCTTCTTCGTGGCCAAAAAAGACGGAGGACTGAGGCCTTGCATTGACTACCGGGGGCTGAACGCAGTCACCACCAAGTACCGGTACCCCCTCCCTCTGGTTCCTTCGGCCATCGAGCAGCTGCGAGGGGCCCGGTACTTTACCAGGTTGGACCTGAGGAGTGCATACAACCTGATCCGAATCTGGAAAGGAGACGAGTGGAAGACGGCATTCAGCACTACCTCAGGCCACTATGAATACTGCATCATGCCCTACGGCCTCGCCAACGCACCTTCCGTGTTCCAGTCCTTCGTCAATGACGTGTTCCGAGACATGCTGAGTAGACAGGTGGTGGTGTACATCAACGATACCCTGATCTACTCGGCTACGTTTGAGGAGCATATCAGGGACGTCCGAGCGGTCCTACATCGCCTCCAGGAACACAGCTTGTTGATGAAGGGGGAGAAATGCGAATTCCACCAACAGGCCATCTCCTTCCTGGTATACAGGATTAGTCCTCAGAGGGTGTTCATGGAAAGAGCGAAGACGGACGCCGTCAGGTCATGGCCAGTCCCCACCACCATCAAGGGCCTACAGAGCTCCCTGGGCTTCGCAAATTTCTACCGTCGTTTCATCAGGTCCTTCAGCTCCATAGCCGCCCCACTCACCTCTCCTTAAGGGTGTGCCTCAGAAGCTGGCCTGGAACCATGAGGTTGACTCTGCCTTCAAGAGGCTGAAGGAGAGGTTCACCACAGCGCCCCTCCTAAAACACCCAGATCCATCTCGTCCTTTCATCCTAGAGGTGGATGCACTGAGGGTGTGGGGTCCTCTCCCAGCTGCAAGGTAAGCCAGAGGAAATGTATCCCTGTGCCTTTTTCTCAAAAGCTTACCCCCGCAGAGAGGAACTATGGAGTTGGAGACAGGGAGCTGTTGGCGGTGGTCCTCGCTCTGGAGGAATGGAGACACTGGCTGGAGGGCACAGCCCATCCATTCTGGATTCTCACTGACCACCTGAATTTGGAGCACATATGGGCAGTGACACGGATGAACTCTCAAGCCAGGTGAGCCCAATTTCTTACTCACTTTCAGTTTATTCTGCCCTACCGCCCAGGATCCCAGAATGTGAAGGCCGACGTACTCTCCAGGATGCACCATACCGGAAAAAGGAAGGATCTGGGGGGTCCTATCCTGCCTCTGTCTCTCATCGTGGCACCTGTCATTTGGGATATGGACGAAGACATCCGCCTGGCGGCTCAGGAGGACCCAGCGCCTGCCAACGCCCCTCCGGGGCACGTGTATGTACCCACCAGGGCCGTGACCGCCTGCTGATCTGGTCGCACACCACCCTTACGGCAGGGCACTCCGGTACTACATTCTCTCTCACAAAAATACTGGTGGCCCACCTTGTCTCCCGCTATATCAACTCCTGTTCCATATGTGCCCAAACGAAGACACCGCAGAACGCCCCGGCAGGCAAACTATTTCCTCTCCAAGTGCCTCAGCGACCTTGGTCACACCTGTCCATAGACTTTGTCACCGACCTGCCACGTTCTGACGGCTTCACCACAGTCCTGGTGGTCGTAGATTGGTTCTCCAAATCATGCTGTTTTTTGCGACTAACTGGTCTTCCTTCTGCTCTCCAGGTCCTATTCCAACAGGTCTTCCGGCATTATGGACTTCCGGAGGACATCGTCTCGGACCGTGGCCCGCAATTCACCTCCCGAGTGTGGAAGGCTTTCCTGGAGAAGATCGGGGCCACGGCCAGCCTCACTTCCGGGTATAGGACTCAGTCGAATGGGCAGGTGGAGTGCATGAACCAGGAGCAGGGGAGATTTCTTCGTTGCCACTGTCAGGACCGGCAGGGTGAGTGGACGAGGTTTCTTCCCTGGGCAGAATATGCCCAGAAACCTCGTTCACTCCTCCACGGGGCTCACTCCCTTCCAGTGTTTCCTGGGGTACCAGCCGGCCCTGGCCCCTTGGAAACCCAGCCAGACAGATGTGCCGCTGTTGACGAGTGGTTCCGCAGGGCTGGACAGGTCTGGGACGCCGCCCATGTCCATCTCCAGAGGGCCATTCGTCGGCAGAAAGACCAAGCCGACCGCCACCGCAGTGAGGCCCCCGTATTCAAGCCTGGGGATCGTGTCTGGCTGTCCACTAAAAACCTCCCTCTCCGCCTGCCCTGCAAGAAACTGAGCCCCCGGTTTGTGGGGCCGTTTAAGGTCCTCCGGCAGATAAATGAGGTATTGTACTGGCTGCTCCTTCCCCCTCACTACCGTGTCTCACCCACTTTTCATGTGTCTCTCCTCAGGCCGGTGGTTCCTGGTCCTCTGGTGGATGCCGTCCCCCAGGGTACGCCCCTGCCCCTGGACATTGACGGGAGTCCGGCGTATGCGGTGAGGGACCTGCTGGACTCCAGGTTCCGTAGGGGATGGCTCCGTCACCTGCTGGACTGGGAAGGGTATGGTCATGAGGAGAAGAGCTAGGTTCCGGCTAGGGACGTTCTGGACCCCAACCTAATTCGGGACATCCACTGTCGCCGCCCTGACTGGCCCGCTCCTCGTCCTCGGGGTCATCCTCCTGGCTGGCGACGTCCTGCGGTGGGAGCCGCGCGTCCGGGGGGGGGGGGGGGGGGGGGTACTGTCACGTCTCCTCCCGTTGCTCCCCTCCGGCGCTCTGATTCGCCAGTCTACTGAGCCACCGGTCTGAGTGCACCACCTCGGCAACACCGGAATGGAAACCCAACGCACCCTAATCACCTCCAGTGCACCTGCACCTCATCACCACCCCATATAGCCCTGGACTGTTCAGTGTTGTGTTGTGTGTGTGTGTGATTGTTAGTGTCATGTCGTGTACTCGCTCGTTGTTGTTCTCTTGCTCAGTGTTAAGTAAACCTTTACATTGTTGATGTCTGCGTCCTGCCTCTTCGTATCCTCAGTACTCGTCACACCCATAGACGTCCCCATATCCTTTTCATCATGTGGTACCACCACCAATTAGGCTACTAGTTTAATCAATTTGATGAACCATTGAATTATTTATCGTCATTATTAGCCTGTATGTTGGACTTGTTTCCTTATCAGATGTATTCATGGTTGGGAAGGTTACTTTCTAAATGTAATCCTACTTTTAAATGTAATAGCTACCTGTCCAAAATTGTAATCAGTAACGCAACTTTTGGATGACTCAAACTCAATAACATCATCTGATTACTTTCAGTCACTTTTGGATTATTTTCCCCTTAAAGGCCCAGTTGAGTCAACAAATGTGATTTTCCTGTGTTTTATATACACTGTTTTTCCACACTATGAGGTTGGAATAATATTGTGAAAATTATGATAATGCTCTTTTAGTGTAAGAGCTGTTTCAAAAGACCACCTGAAATTTCAGCCTGTTTTGGTGGGAAGGAGTTTTGGCCTTCCTGGTGACATCACCAGGTGGTAAATTGGTTAATAGACAAATATGAAAGCGTTTCAAACCACTCTGCCAATAACAGCTAGTTTTCAGTTTTCCCCTCCCCTCTCAGACCACTCCCAGACAGTCCTAGCGAAATTCTTGCTTGAGAAATTGCTCTTTGCTAAGAAGCTATTTTTGTTTCCTTTTGAACATTTTAATTGAAAACAATAACAGGTAATTGTTACCCAAAAATGATATGATATTGAGATGAAAACGGCTGCATTGGACCTTTAAAAGGAATTAAAAGAAGACAAAAAGTATCCATCAAAAGCATTTGGTGTGTCATCATGGTGGTCTCTGACTTCTGGTTTCAAAAGGAACACATTTAAACATGTGCCTTTTTTCAATGCTAAATGTAATGTTATTGAGAAAATGATTTTGTATTGTAATGTATTTTTTTGCAAACATCCTTTCTGAATTTAAAAGTAGATCATCTAGTAAAGTAATCATCTAGTTTTTCAAATATATCTGTAATCTGATTACAATATTTTTGCTAGTAACATATCGTTTTTTTTGTTGTAATCAGATTACATGTAACTGATTACATGTATCACTTCCTCCTTTCCCTGGATGTATAGGACTAGGTATGGCTACAGTAGCTCTGGACAGGCCATAATCAGATCATTGGTAAACCTCTAAGCATTATGGCCAACGATTTACCTATGCTGCTAATCCTACTCACCACAACTAGTCTACTGGTTACACCGTGGAAACATTGTTACCGTGAAAATGTATCCGTAGGCCTAATTATCTGGTTACAATACCTTGTATAGTATAACGGTGGATATACTCGATTTGCTAGCGCGTTTATGACAATAGGCCTAATTGCATGCTGTTGTTGGGGGTTGGATCAAGGCGTGTTCCATCTACCAAGCGCGCTAGACATGTATATAATGGTCATACTGAACGCTATTCGAGTCCTGAGCGGGACAAGCTTGAAGTTGCGCATCTCATTCTGTGCTATCAGCAGTTTCACATTCACCGGCAGTCACAAGAGAGCCTTCACAATGTCAGAACACTTCACTGAACAAATAGTATTTAACAAACCAAAGGTAAGTTGTATTTGACGACTAATGTATCAGGAAAAAAGAAAGTTGCATTAAATTATTCATTATCCTGTTTACTCTCCTTCTCAACCACTTTGTAACCATTTATTAATTATCCTATTATTCCTTCTCAACCTTGTCACCGTGTAGGCTGTACTTTGTTTCGGTAATGATAGGGTTTGACGACGCTCTTTCATTTGTTTGATTCTAAAATCAAGGAAGCACGTGGTTAGAAGAAACGAAAGTAGAAAGGGATTGTAGGCTACTATTGCTGAACTGTTGTGCCATCAGTGGGCTGTTCGTGTAGCCTATTCATTTGCACCAATACCAAGTAAAACGTTTTAAGAAGATCCTTACTAGATACATTTTCCATTTGATACATTTTCTAAAGTATTGTGTCAGTATTTTCACACTTACTTGGGTTTTACATAGCATGTAATACACTGACCATTAGATAACATTTCACTGTAATTATGGATGGGCATTGGTGGTGCCGCCTCTTCCTATAGGCAGACTAAGCGTTCTGAGCGTAGGGCCCGCGCCCGCTAGTGGGCCCCGACCCAATTTGTTGGTAAAACAATAATGATGACCTCAGTAGGGGTCTCAACATACTGTGCAATTTCGAAATGTGGTAGTGCATCAGTACTTTTCCACTTATGTCAGTCACTCAAAGCTTTTAGATTGCAAGGTAAGGTAGTCTAGCCAGCTATCTAACACTTGTAGTAGGCCTAATCATCACCAAATTACCAACCAGGCACGCAGGGCATGTGCTCAGGGGCCCTGAATTCCAGGGGGCCCCCATTGATTTAGTTAGTCACTCCTACACAGATATCATGTGAAAATTGCATAAGTAATGGAAAAATGTGTAGAATGGCAGGAAATGTGCTTTAAAACTGCTAAATGTTCTCCGCCCCATGGTAAATATTTGAATAATTGCAGAGATGTTGCTTTAAAACTGCAACACAGCCTTCCGACCAAATCTCGCTTAGCACCCCCCAAAAGGCTAGAGGTGGCTCAGGGTGGTGGGATTGGCAGGTGCAGTTACTGGTGGAGACAGATTGATTGATGTGTCAAGCCCATGAAGATTACTGTCTATGTTTAGAGTATCAAATAGACAAGGGGTGACACTGTAATATTAATGGTGGACAAAGGCACTGTAATATTATTGGTGGACAAAGGCACTGTATTATTAATGGTGGACAAAGGCACTGTAATATTATTGGTGGACAAAGGCACTGTATTATTAATGGTGGACAAAGGCACTGTAATATTATTGGTGGACAAAGGCACTGTATTATTAATGGTGGACAAAGGCACTGTAATATTAATGGTGGACAAAGGCACTGTAATATTAATGGCGGACAAAGGCACTGTAATATTATTGGTGGACAAAGGCACCAAAAACACCAGTAATAAGATAGTTTGGTGGTTAAAGCTGCTTTATCTTTAATCAGAAGCAGTAGGCTACTCTACTTGTTTCAATGGGTAAGTTAATCTCGGTTACCCAGAAGTAAATTCTTACGCAGAATCTGCCCACGAGAGATTAACGGTGAGCAAGCTGCTCTTCCTGGTACCCGGACAGTGTAATTCAATTCACACACTGTAGCCTGTACTGCACCACCGTGTCTCCTCTAGAGGGGCAACACAAAAACAATACATTATTTTATTGTTCCATTATTCAGAGACAACAGTAATGTGGTAGTATTTGCTGTCAGAGTACCCAGCCCCAACACACAACGTACACACAACAGGCTGGGAGCAGCACAGGGTCAGCCACAGAGCAGTGACCCTGGAGCAGGTTAGGGTTTAAGTTGCCTTGATCAAGGGCCCATCCGCGGTAGGTGGAGATGCAGAGTGAGTGCACGATTGATTTGTATGTATTAAGGCCAGTTATATACAATTAAAAACATTACAATACATTTCACAACAGATTTCACAACACATTGAGTGTGTGCCCTCAGGCCACTGCTCTACTACCATATATCTACGACACAAAATCCATGTGTACGTGTGTGTGTGTATACTCAGGACATGAGGACATTAGTTCAGGAGGCCAGGGGTAATAAAGACAGATAGTTCAGGGCCCGTGTTCATAAAGCGTCTCAGAGTAGGAATGCAGATCTAGGATCAGTTTGACCTTTTTAGATCACTATGTATAACATGGACAGGAGGGACCTGATCCTAGATCAGCACTCCTTGTCCGAGACACGAGATACAGGGCCAGGTGTAAGAAAGACACTTCAGTAAATACTGATCCTAAGTCTTCTTCAACATATAGCCCCCATAAACACCAGCATAGAAACAATAGTGCCCTTTGGAGTCATGGTCCTGAGTCATGGTCCTGAGTCAGCAGTACATGCACGGGGGTAGGAGCTGATAGCTGATAACAAGAAGCATAATGACAGACTCCTAACCCCAACGTGTGTGTGTGTGTGTGTGTGTGTGTGTGTGTGTGTGTGTGTGTGTGTGTGTGTGTGTGTGTGGGCGTGTGTGTGGGCGTGTGCGTGTATTTCATTTTATTACACTGACTGTGACAAAGGCTGAATGAATGCAGTAATACAGGGATGGACAACCTTGAAGAGTGACTTTGAATGACACTGATAACATTTTTATCATCTACCAATAATTGAATGTATGGGGCGTGATGAGCCAGGGCTCAACTATGCATGCAACAGAAGCATAACTATGTAAAGTTATGTAATGACTATACATTACACAACAGGTTGAGTCTTAATTGTTTGTAAACTGATACATGCATTTTGTGATAATAATAATAATCATAGCTGTTTAACGTAAACAAAATAAGGTCGTCGTGCTGTTATAGACACACATTTATAACAACAAGAACACAGATGATTAATAACTGTTTTTTCCATTACATTTATACCTGTTGATAGATAAAACTGATTATATGCTTTGTATTGGCCATGGTTTATAAAGTAGGAAACCACAGAAGAATAGCCCATGAGGAAATGAGTTGTTACTACAATGCCAGAAGATCACTTCACCTGTAAACGACTAAAACAGCTGTCATAGATCTGATCTGTGTATGTAGCCTAGCATCCATTGATGCTCTGTTGCGGCTCTGACGTCATGGGCCTGTTGTTGAGATAGTGAATCTCTCTCTGTTTGCTTGTTTCAGTGATAGATGGGCCTAAACAACAGAGAAACTATGTCTCTGTACTCTTCACTCACTAATTATATTTAAACACTGTCTTCTTCAAGACTCTACACACACACTCACACATATACACACACACACACACACACATGCATGGAGGCACACACACATATCCATTGTTATCCCAAAGTGGACTGAATAGAGATGCAGTAACAGTCATGTGAGACCTACACCCTGGACATGTTTTCAGAGTCAGTGAACAAAGTGGTCGTCGACAAAGAACCTTAGCAATGCATTATAGGCACTCTGTAAAGCAGAGGAAGTTGAGGGCACGTGGGAGATAAATGATTGCATCATTCTGCCAAGTATTGCAGACAAATGATGAGTGAGTGCGTGCTTCTAATGGGTGGATAATGTGTAATGTGCTGGAAATGGAATAAAACATGTGTATTGACTTAGTGAAACCTAACACAAAATCTAATGGCTTTGTGAGACAAGATTATAGCTGCTGCTGTAAGTTCATAAAGGCAGTTCAGTGTACTTTGGTGTAGTTTTACTGGGGTGTTTAGAACACTGTGTACCTCAGAGCTCTACATTTGAATTTAGTATAGCTATGGAGTGTTTAGACAGGTTCTACTTTTTTCGAAGGAACTAAATGTTTCACAGGAACCGAGTGTTTCCTTAAATTCCATAAGGTGACATCTAGTGACAAATAGTTGTTGTGTTCAAGCAGTTAGGGTTCAACCTGCATGCTACTGGTTGCAAGGCAATTATACAGTAGACCAATTCTGTGCCAAAGATAACACTGTTGGAGACACAAATAACTTTTATTTATGTAAACATACTGTACGTGTGTGTCCAAGAGGTTGTGCTAGAAAAACATAACACAGGGTCAGTCTATACTGTACGTTCAACATAGTTGATTGTGGACAGTAAATTATACTGCAAAGTAGACTACCTTGACATTTCCTACAAGAGCCTAATGCTGATATTTGTCTTTCAAGGCCTTGGTTTCCTGTCATACCAATGTCAGTAGCAGGGGTCATGTCACACCGTAATTATCACACTCATGCTAAACTCGTTATGTAATAACCATAACGGTATTGCCTTCAGGAGCCAACCTGTCAGACACATTATGGTAAGATGATAAAGATGGTTTTGATCTTTTCAAGGATCATTTCTGCTGCTGTTCTTGGAAGATTTGTTCTTAGGAATTAATTTATCTAAAATTGCCTATAATTTCCACATTCTCAATTTCATCCAGTGTGTGCCTGGGACGGTCAAAAGATTATTAGAAACGATACATAAAAATGCCTTCTGTTTACAATCGAATCCCATGGTCATGGGTAATTAGTTCTAACTCAGTCTGCCCTGTAGTCAGCTGGTGTAGAGTAGCGGAGCTGGCAAGATTTAGCACTTTCATCTGTCAGTGTAAGTTGTGGCTAGAAAAAGGGCCAGAGCACTCAGTTGCTCTTCTTTGAACATTCTTTGGCATCACTGGCCTTTTCACTGACTGCACTACGTTCGGTGCCCAGTCATACGTACTGTATTTGAGATAGATGTGGTCCAGCTTCACACTACAACACAACACAAGGTGTCCTGCCTGCTCTCTCATTTGCCAATGTTTAGTCCATTCATTTATTTTTTGCCAGATTTGTGAGTTCATCCAGAGATCATCCCTGTGGACTAAATTACTCTATAGGTCATTAGGTTAAAAGTACATTCTGTTTTTTAAATGATTATTTGGTCATATTTTTTATCTTCAGATTGAGCTGCATGTGCATCTTGATGGCGCTATCCGAGTGGAGACGATCCTAGACGTTGCCGAGTAAGTTCATAAACCTGTTGAGTTCTTAGCATTTTTCTTTTAGTTAAATAATGTGTTAAAATTGGTTTTGCAAGTTCTCTTGAATCATGAATGACCAATTACCCTTGACAAAAGGGCTGTTAGGTTCAAGTGACATACATTGTTCTTTCAGTATTTGTGTTTGGAACATATAGGCCTAGTTATGGGGGTCTTTTTGAACTAGCAATTGTCTTTAAGTCATTCATATAATTAATTGAAATAATAATAATAATATAATAATAACTTTATTTATATAGTGCTTTTCAATACAAGTAACAAAGTGATTCACATAAAATAATCAAATAAAAGTACTAAGAAAGAAACAAAGACAGGAGGAAGGAGAATTTTAAAAATATAGCTAATTTAAATAATACATTGAAATCATGTATTAAAAGCATCTTTATAAAAAAGTGCACTGAATCTGCAAGCCTGATCTCCTCTGGCAGACCATTCCAAAGTCTAGAGGCCCTAATGGCAAATGCCTGATCTCCTTTCATTTTCAACCTAGAGAAATGAACATTGAACAGCTGTAGCTAAATATTGCTGATTGCACTTTTAAAGCCTCTGTCTGTCCCAGGCGACGTGGGATTACCCTGCCTGCATGCACAGTGAAGGAGATGACACACATCTGTGTGGTGCATCAGCCTGCCACCCTCACAGAGTTCCTCGGCAAGTTCGCAGAGTACATGCACGTCATTGCGTAAGTACCCTGAACATAAAGATAGATATGAGATAATTAGATGCTGACTACTGTACTAACCACCTGAGCTTTTGGATGTTCCCTGATGCTGGAAGGGGGGCCCCGAGTGAAAAGGTTTGGGAGCCCCTGATTTAGCAGATGCTTTTATCATTATCATAGAGAGGTGTTTTCATGATCCTAGATCTATTTGTGCCAATAGTGTAACAATGACCATAGGAATTGGTAAGACAGCATAAACAGATCTGGGAACAAGCTAGGGAGGAGTTGCCTCAAGACCTCAAACTCAAGAGTTTTGACCAAATGGAGTGGTCAGGCGTTAGTTTACTCACTACTGGGAGTAGAGAGAGGAGAGAGAGAGAGGAGAGGAGGGAGGGAAGAGGAGGTGAGGAGGGAGAGGGGGAGGGAGGGAGGAGCTTTTTCTCGCGTTCTGTCTTCTCGCTGAAGAGAGTTCTGTCCTTCGCTCTTCCTGCATCCTCTACTGCTCTCTCTCTCTTCGCCCGCTATCTACACTCGGCTCGCATATCGCTTCGGTATCCTCTCTCTCCTCTCTCTCTCCTCTCTCTCTCTAGGAGGAGAGAGAGAAAATTCAGAGCCAGACTGGACTGGATGTTCCTTACTACTCTTTTTTTATTTCAACGGGTATCATTACCATCAACAGGTCAAATTAAATCACATTTTATTTCTCACATGCGCCGAATACAACAGGTGTAGACCTTACAGTGAAATGCTTACTTACAAGCCCTAAACCAACAATGCAGTTTTAAGAAATAAAATAGAAATAAAAGTAACAAATACTTAAAGAGCAGCAATAAAATAACAATAGTGAGGCTATATACAGAGTCAATGTGCGGGGGCACCGGTTAGTCGAGGTAATTGAGGTAATATGTACAGTTGAAGTCGGAAGTTTACATACACTTAGGTTGGAGTCATTAAAACTTGTTTTTCTACCACTCCACACATTTCTTTTTAACAAACTATAGTTTTGGCAAGTCGGTTAGGACATCTACTTTGTGCATGACAAGTCCTTTTTCCAAAAATTGTTTACAGACAGATTATTCACTTATAATTCACTGTATCACAATTCCAGTGGGTCAGACATTTCCAAACGCCTGAAGGTACCAAGTTGACTGTGCCTTTAAACAGCTTGGAAAATTCCAGAAAATGATGTCATGGCTTTAGAAGCTTCTGATAGGCTAATTGACATCATTTGAGTCAATTGGAGGTGTACCTGTGGATGTATTTCAAGGCCTACCTTCAAACTCAGTGCCTCTTTGCTTGACATGATGGGAAAATCAAAAGAAATCAGCCAAGACCTTGGGAGCAATTTCCAAACGCCTGAAGGTACCACGTTCATCTGTACAAACAATAGTACACAAGTATAAACACCATGGGACCACGCAGCCGTCATACCGCTCAGGAAGGAGACGCGTTCTGTCTCCTAGAGATTAACGTACTTTGGTGCGAAAAGTGCAAATCAATCCCAGAACAACAGCAAAGGACCTTGTGAAGATGCTGGAGGAAACAGGTACAGAAGTATCTATATCCACAGTAAAACGAGTCCTATATCAACATAACCTGAAAGGCCGCTCAGCAAGGAAGAAGCCACTGCTCCAAAACCGACAAAAATAGCCGGACTACGGTTTGCAACTGCACACGGGGACAAAGATCGTACTTTTTGGAGAAATGTCCTCTGGTCTAATGAAACAAAAATAGAACTGCCATAATGACCATAGTTATGTTTGGAGGAAAAGGGGGTTGCTTGCAAGCTGAAGAACACCATCACAACGTGAAGCACAGGGATGGCACCATCATGCTGTGAGTGTGCTTTGCTGCAGGAGGGACTGGTGCACTTCACAAAATAGATGGCATCATGAGGAAGGAAAATTATGTGGATATATTGAAGCAACATCTCAAGACATCGGTCAGGAAGTTAAAGCTTGGTCGCAAAAAGTTTAACAATTTAAAGGCAATGCTACCAAATACTAATTGAGTGTAGGTAAACTTCTGACCCACTTGGAATATGATGAAAGAAATAAAAGCTGAAATAAATCATTCTCTCTACTATTATTCTGACATTTCACATTCTTAAAATAAAGTGGTGATCCTAACTGACCTAAGACAGGGAATTTTTACTAGGATTAATTGTCAGGAATTGTGAAAAACTGAGTTTAAATGTATTTGGCTAAGTTGTATGTAAACTTCTGACTTCAACCGTACATGTAGGTAGTGTTATTAAAGTGACTATGCATAGATAATAAACCTAGAGTAGCCGCAGAGTAAAAGAGCTGTAGAACCTTTTGAGGATCTGAGGACCCATGACAAATCTTTTCAGTCTCCTTAGGGGGAATAGGTTTTGTCGTGCCCTCGTCATGACTGTCTTGGTGTGCTTGGACCATGTCAGTTTGTTGGTGATGTGGACACCAAGGAACTTGAATCTCTCAACCTGCTCCACTACAGCCCCGTCAATGAGAATGGGGGCGTGCTCGGTCCTCTTCTTTTTCCTGTAGTCCACAATCATCTCCTTTGTCTTGATCACGTTGAGGGAGAGGTTGTTGTCCTGGCACCACACGACCAGGTCTCTGACCTCCTCCCTATAGGCTGCCTCGTCATTGTCGGTGATCAGGCCTACCACTGTTTTGTCATCGCAACCTTAATTATGGTGTTGGAGTCGTGCCTGGCCATGCAGTCATGAGTGAACAGGGAGTACAGGAGGGGACTGAGCACGCACCCCTGAGGGGCCCCTGTGTTGAGGATCAGCGTGACGGATGTGTTGTTACCTACCCTTACCACCTGGGGGCGGCCCGTCAGGAAGTCCAGGATCCAGTTGCAGTGGAGGCGTTTAGTCCCAGGGTCCTTAGCTTAGTGATGAGCTTTGAGGGCACTATGGTGTTGAACGCTGAGCTGTAGTCAATGAATAGCATTCTCACATAGGTGTTCCTTTTGTCCAGGTGTGAAAGGGCAGTGTGGAGCGCAATAGAGATTGCATCATCTGGATCTGTTGGGACGGTATGCAAATTGGAGTGGGTCTAGGGTTTCTGGGATAATGGTGTTGATGTGAGCCATGTACAGCCTTTCAAAGCAGACGTGAGTGCTACGGGTCGGTAGTCATTTAAGCAGGTTACCTTAGTGTTCTTGGGCACAGGGCCTATGGTGGTCTGCTTGAAACATGTTGGTATTACAGACTCAGACAGTGAGATGTTGAAAATGTGAAGACACTTGCCAGTTGGTCAGTGCATGCTCGGAGTACACGTCCTGGTAATCCATCTGGCCCTGCGGCCTTGTGAATGTTGACCTGTTTAAAGGTCTTACTCACATCGGCTACGGAGAGCGTGATCACACAGTCGTCCGGAACAGCTGATGCTCTCATGCATGTTTCAATGTTACTTGCTTCGAAGCGAGCATAGAAGTAATGTAGCTCGTTTGGTAGGCACGTGTCACTGGGCAGCTCGCGGCTGTGCTTCCCTTTGTAGTCTGTAATAGTTTGCAAGCCCTGCCACATCCGACGAGTGTCGGAGCCGGTGTAGTACGATTCGATCTTTGTCCTGTATTGACGCTTTGCCTGTTTGATGGTTCGTCGGAGGGCATAGCAGGGATTTCTTATAAGCTTCCGGGTTAGAGTTCCGCTCCTTGAAAGCGGCAGCTCTACCCTTTAGCTCAGTGTGGATGTTGCCTGTAATCCATGGCTTCTGGTTGGGGTATGTACATACAGTCACTGTGGGGACGACGTTATCGATGCACTTATTGATGAAGCCAATGACTGATGTGGTGTACTCCTCAATGCCATCGGAAGAATCCCGGAACATATTCCAGTCTGTGCTAGCAAAACAGTCCTGTAGCTTAGCATCTGCTTCATCTGACCACTTTTTAATTGACAGAGTCACTGGTGCTTCCTGCTTTAGTTTTTGCTTGTAAGCAGGAATCAGGAGGATAGAATTATGGTCTGATTTGCCAAATGGAGGACGAGGGAGAGCTTTGTACGCGTCTCTGTGTGTGGAGTAAAGGTGGTCTAGAGTTTTTCTTTCCCTTTGGTTGCACATTTAACATGCTGGTAGAAATGAGGTAAAACTGATTTATGTTTCCCTGCATTAAAGTCCCTGCCACTAGGAGCGCCGCCTCTGGGTGAGCGTTTTCCTGTTTGCTTATGGCCGTATACAGTTCATTGAGTGCGGTCTTAGTGCCAGCATCGGTTTGTGGTGGTAAATAGACATGGTTAGTACTAAATATAGATGAAAACTCTCTTGGTAGATAGTGTGGTCTACAGCTTATCATGAGATACTCTACCTCAGGCAAGCAAAACCTCGAGACTTCCTTAGATATCGTGCACCAGCTGTTGTTTACAAATATACATAGACCGCCACCCCTTGTCTTACCAGAGGCTGCTGTTCTATCCTGCCGATACAGTGTATACCCCACCAGCTGTATGTTATTCATGTCGTCGTTCAGCCACGACTCTGTGAAACATAAGATATTACAGTTTTTAATGTCCCGTCGGTAGGATATACGTGCTTGTAGTTCGTACACTTTTTTATCAAGCGATTGTACGTTGGCCAATAGTATCGATTGCAAAGGCAGATTAGCCACTCATCGCCGGCACCTTACCAGGCACCCCGATCTCCTTCCGCAATATCTCCTTTTCTTTCTACTGTGAACGACGGGGATGAGGGCCCTGTCGGGTGTCTGGAGCAAATCCCCCTCGTCTGACTCATTAAAGAAAAATTATTCGTCCAGTTCAAGGTGAGTAATCGCTGTTCTGATGTCTAGAAGCTATTTTCAGTCATAAGAGACGGTAGCAGCAACATTATGTACAAAATAAGTTACAAACAATGCAAAAAATCAAACAAAATAGCATGGTTGGTTAAAAGCCCATAAAACAGCAGCCATCCCCTCCGGCGCCATTCGTACATGGCGTGTTAGGTGTGTCTTTCTTCCAACAGCAATCATAACTGTTATCAACAGTTACATGGTGTTGGAAGTCGAGAGTCTATATACTTGTATGACGGGCAATTAATTGGTGTTGCTGCCAGCAATGCAATCAACAAGCTTTTAAAGAACACTTTAGACCAGACTTGATGGGTCTTCTTCCTGGTTAGTGAGTGGATGTAATGCAGGCAGAGACAGTATTATGCCAGGTTTCCTCTGGTGGCCAGACTAAGGGTCAATTACTTGAAATGCAGATTATGCAGCACAGAGGAGCACGTCATGATGCATGCAGGTGTACAGTGGGGGAAAAAAGTATTTAGTCTGCCAACAATTGTGCAAGTTCTCCCACTTAAAAAGATGAGAGAGGCCTGTAATTTTCATCATAGGTACACGTCAACTATGACAGACAAATTGAGAATTTTTTTTTCCAGAAAATCACATTGTAGGATTTTTAATGAATTTATTTGCAAATTATGGTGGAAAATAAGTATTTGGTCACCTACAAACAAGCAAGATTTCTGGCTCTCACAGACCTGTAACTTCTTCTTTAAGAGGCTCCTCTGTCCTCCACTCGTTACCTGTATTAATGGCACCTGTTTGAACTTGTTATCAGTATAAAAGACACCTGTCCACAACCTCAAACAGTCACACTCCAAACTCCACTATGGCCAAGACCAAAGAGCTGTCAAAGGACACCAGAAACAACATTGTAGACCTGCACCAGGCTGGGAAGACTGAATCTGCAATAGGTAAGCAGCTTGGTTTGAAGAAATCAACTGTGGGAGCAATTATTAGGAAATGGAAGACATACAAGACCACTGATAATCTCCCTCGATCTGGGGCTCCACGCAAGATCTCACCCCGTGGGGTCAAAATGATCACAAGAACGGTGAGCAAAAATCCCAGAACCACACGGGGGGACCTAGTGAATGACCTGCAGAGAGCTGGGACCAAAGTAACAAAGCCTACCATCAGTAACACACTACGCCGCAAGGGACTCAAATCCTGCAGTGCCAGACATGTCCCCCTGCTTAAGCCAGTACATGTCCAGGCCCATCTGAAGTTTGCTAGAGTGCATTTGGATGATCCAGAAGAGGATTGGGAGAATGTCATATGGTCAGATGAAACCAAAATAGAACTTTTTGGTAAAAACTCAACTCGTCGTGTTTGGAGGACAAAGAATGCATACCTACTGTGAAGCATGGGGGTGGAAACATCATGCTTTGGGGCTGTTTTTCTGCAAATGGGACCAGGACGACTGATCCGTGTAAAGGAAAGAATGAATGGGGCCATGTATCGTGAGATTTTGAGTGAAAACCTCCTTCCATCAGCAAGGGCATTGAAGATGAAACGTGGCTGGGTCTTTCAGCATGACAATGATCCCAAACACACCGCCCGGGCAACGAAGGAGTGGCTTCGTAAGAAGCATTTCAAGGTCCTGGAGTGGCCTAGCCAGTCTCCAGATCTCAACCCCATAGAAAATCTTTGGAGGGAGTTGAAAGTCCGTGTTGCCCAGCGACAGCCCCAAAACATCACTGCTCTAGAGGAGATCTGCATGGAGGAATGGGCCAAAATACCAGCAACAGTGTGTGAAAACCTTGTGAAGATTTACAGAAAACGTTTGACCTGTGTCATTGCCAACAAAGGGTATATAACAAAGTATTGAGAAACTTGTGTTATTGACCAAATACTTATTTTCCACCATAATTTGCAAATAAATTCATTAAAAATCCTACAATGTGATTTTCTGGATTTTTTTTTCTCATTTTGTCTGTCATAGTTGACGTGTACCTATGATGAAAATTACAGGCCTCTCTCATCTTTTTAAGTGGGAGAACTTGCACAATTGGTGGCTGACTAAATACTTTTTTTCCCCACTGTATCTGTGGCAACCAACTGAACTTACAGTCTAATTGGTCGTTATAGATACCGTTCCCATTACAACGCTAACTTACATTTAACCCTAAAGCTACCAACATATTTCGCATTTTTACCCCAAGATGGTACTATTGAAAAAAGCAACAATCATAGTAAAATCTAAACTCAAATCTCACCCACTGCTGAAACTAAACAATGTATTAAAAAACAAACATTTTATGTGATGTTTCAGCTCCATACCAGACTAACCAATTTGTCATACTTGAGTAAACGTAAAGATACCTTAATAGAAAATGACTCAAGTAAAAGTGAAAGTCACCCAGTAAAATACTACTTAAGTAAAAGTCTAAAAGTATTTGGTTTTAAATATACTTAAGTATCAAAAGTAAATGTAATTGCTAAAATATACTTAAGAATCAAAAGTAAAAGTATAAATCATTTCACATTCCTTATATTAAGCAAACCAGAAGGCACGATTTTCTTATTTTAATTTATGGATAGCCAGGGGCACACTCCAGTGAGTCCGCCAGATCAGAAGCAGTAGGGATGACCAGAGATGTCCTCTTGATAAGTACGTGAATTGGACCATTTTCCTGTCCTGCTAAGCATTCGAAATGTAACAAGTACTTTTGGGTGGCAGGGAAAATGTATGGAGTAAAAAGCACATTATTTTCTTTAGGAATGTAGTGGAGTGAAAGTAAAAGTTGTCAAAAATATTAATAGTAAAGTAAAGTACAGATACCCCAAAAAACAACTTAAGTAGTACAATACTTTAAAGTATTTTTTACTTAAGTACTGTATACCACTGCCCACAACAAGTATGAAAAGACACAATAATGGTTTGCAATAGCAGCCAGACCAGCCAGGGAAGCTGCTAGCAGGCAGTTATGCTGAATGAAGCATTCTTTAGCAAGGCCTTCCCTTGAAAAGCCTTGTTGTTGAATCTGGTGCTTCCCCCTACACGACAACAACAACATGGGGAACTTGCTAGCTGTGTTTGGCTCATGCAGGATTTTTGTGTGTGTTGGTAGATAGATGGGCACAGCGGGGGTAACGGGGTCGGGGGGTTTGGGGGGTGAGTGTTGTGGGGAAACAACAAGCATGCAGAGCAGGCATTTACGTCTAGTGTAAATGCAGGTCTTTTTTCCAATCATGTGATGTGAAACAGAAACTTTGTTGTGAAGTCAAAAAGAAACAGAAAAGGAATTGATGCTAGGTACATCTGTTTGACTGAGTTTGCAAACATTTCCCACCCCTCCAACCAAAATACCAATTGCTCCACGGGGACTTTTACAGAAATGTGTACCATAAAACAGAATGATATGTTCTCAAAATACAATAAAATGAAAATTACAAATGACTATAATATTCTATTATCCCCTGTCAGGGTTTCCCTATAGCAGGGTTCTTCAATTCCGGTCCTGGAGGGCCGAGACACTTCTGTTTTATATTTCTACCTGGTAGTTAATTGCCCTCACCTGGTGTCCCAGGTCTGAATTAGCCCCTGATTAGATGGAGAGGATGAAAAACAGGGTGTTTCGGCCCTCCAGGACCGGAATTGAAGAACCCTGCCCTATAGGCAGCCCTCAGGCCAAATGAGTAAAACATATATAATAATGATTTTTGTTGTTGGACATAAATGGCTGTAAAATCCCCAGGAAATCAGCTCAATGTTATTTTAATTTAGGAAATATGTCAAATACTATATCTGTTTGGGCTTCTTACGAGCAATTTGCAGTGTAGGCCCACAAATTATTTCAAATTATGTTCCGGCCCCAGGACCATCCACTCCGTGGCTGAATGTAATTGGTGGCCCCTGCCCTGTGTCATGCCTCAAATACTGTACACAGGCTGATCTTACGTCCTTTACCTTCATTATCATACAGGGATCATCATAGTCATTTTCTCCTGCTGACAGTCAGTCCTATTGGCAGTAGCAGTGAAGGGCTCATTGCCAGTCAAGTTCAAGTCAGGGGCCACAGGGAGCATTGGTTCTGCCGTTTGGCTCTCTCTGTGACAGTAATAGTCCTCCTGGCATGGCGTGCTGAGGATTTACCATCAGATTACCCTCCTGCCATTCAGAGAAACAATTCTACCATGTAATACCCTGTACTAACCCTGTACTAACCATGTAATACCCTGTACTAACCTTGTAATACTGTGTACTAACCCTGTAATATCCTGTTACTAACCATGTAATATCCTGTACTAACCCTGTGATACCCTGTTACTAACCCTGTAATACCCTGTTACTAACCCTGTAATACCCTGTTACTAACCCTGTAATATCCTGTACTAACCCTGTACTAACCCTGTGATATCCTGTACTAACCCTGTTACTAACCCTGTAATAACCCTGTTACTAACCCTGTAATACCCTGTACTAACCCTGTAATACCCTGTACTAACCCTGTTACTAACCCTGTAATAACCCTGTTACTAACCCTGTGACTAACCCTGTAATATCCCTGTACTAACCCTGTGATACCCTGTACTAACCCTGTAATACCCTGTACTAACCCTGTAATATCCTGTACTAACCCTGTACTAACCCTGTGATACCCTGTAATACCCTGTACTAACCCTGTAATACCCTGTACTAACCGCTGTTCATAGAACGTTTCCTGTGTTTTTATTTGTAACTGGATGTGCATAATGTGAGAAAGAAAATAATTAGGGCCTTTGTTGGTGACTAATACTTTTCATTAGCTGCCATAGTTGGGTAAATATTTATGTTGTTTCTCTTGGTCTTCCTCTGATTTTCTATGACCTTTCCAGGGGCGACAGAGAGGCGATCAAGAGGATAGCCTATGAGTTTGTGGAGGACAAAGCCAAAGAGGGGGTGATCTACGTTGAAGTCAGATACAGCCCACACTACCTGGCTAACACTGACGTAGAACCCATTCCATGGAACCAAAAAGAGTACGTGGATGATATTATATGTTTCTGAGTCGGTAAAGTAGCTGACAGAAAAGTGTGACTTTGAAACATACTGTAAGTGTGATTGATGTCACTTTACTATATGGACATGCGCAATACAGTTCTTTGAGTTACGTGTGCTCTCCGATTGCAGAGTCTTGTATTGTTCATGTAGGTATCTGTTCTTAGAGATCAAACATAAAATGTAACATAGCAATGCATTGAAGAGTTCTCTGTGTGTTGATTTCACTCTCTCTCTCTCTTCCCCCAGAGGTGACCTGAGCCCAGATGAGGTTGTTCGCTTGGTGAACCAGGGTCTGACCGAGGGAGAGAAGGCATTCAACATCAAAGCCAGGTCCATTCTGTGCTGCATGCGCCACATGCCAAGTAATGCCCTCACGGTCCTGTTCACGCTCCTGTCCTGTCTGTCTGGCCCAACGCAGCCCCTCCTTATTGTCTGTAGTTCTCTGTCTGTAGTCCTCTGTCTGTAGTTCTGTCTGTAGTCCTCTGTCTGTAGCCCTCTGTCTGTAGTCCTTTTTCTGTAGTCCTCTGTCTGTAGTCCTCTTTCTGTAGTTCTGTCTGTAGTCCTCTTTCTGTAGTTCTGTCTGCAGTCCTCTTTCTGTAGTTCTGTCTGCAGTCCTCTGTCTGTAGTTCTGTCTGCAGTCCTCTGTCTGTAGTCCTCTGTCTGTAGGCCTCTTTCTGTAGTCCTTTTTCTGTAGTTCTGTCTGTAGTCCTCTTTCTGTAGTTCTGTCTGTAGTCCTCTGTCTGTAGTCCTCTTTCTGTATTCTGTCTGTAAGTCCTCTTTCTGTAGTTCTGTCTGCAGTCCTCTTTCTGTAGTTCTGTCTGCAGTCCTCTGTCTGTAGTCCTCTGTCTGTAGGCCTCTTTCTGTAGTCCTCTTTCTGTAGTTCTGTCTGCAGTCCTCTTTCTGTAGTTCTGTCTGTAGTCCTCTGTCTGTAGTCCTCTTTCTGTAGTTCTGTCTGTAGTCCTCTTTCTGTAGTTCTGTCTGCAGTCCTCTTTCTGTAGTTCTGTCTGCAGTCCTCTGTCTGTAGTCCTCTATCTGTAGGCCTCTTTCTGTAGTCCTTTTTCTGTAGTTCTGTCTGTAGTCCTCTTTCTGTAGTTCTGTCTGTAGTCCTCTGTCTGTAGTCCTCTTTCTGTAGTTCTGTCTGTAGTCCTCTTTCTGTATTTTCTGTCTGCAGTCCTCTTTCTGTAGTTCTGTCTGCAGTCCTCTGTCTGTAGTCCTCTGTCTGTAGGCCTCTTTCTGTAGTCCTTTTTCTGTAGTTCTGTCTGTAGTCCTCTTTCTGTAGTTCTGTCTGTAGTCCTCTTTCTGTAGTTCTGTCTGCAGTCCTCTGTCTATAGTCCTCTGTCTGTGATCCTCATCACACTAAGTTGCAGGCCAAACATCTCCCAGTCAAAAATACTCCCCACACTTCCTGTTTTGGGCATCGTCTGACTGTCTCGTTTCATTCCATCCCCACTCAATGATGTTGATCTATATGTGAGGAGGTGTGATACTGTGCTTACTATTGAGTTTTCTACTTAGCTAATGTCACCATTTGCTGACCCTAATGCAGACAGTACAAAGGGGCTCTTGTTTGTGTATTGTATTGTATCACTGAATTAACAATTGCAAGCCTCATCTCCTATGTTACAGCACAGAATAGAGCCAGCATTGTCTCTCATACAAGAGATATCCCCTTAGGCATTAGTAAAGTCATTTGGTTGTATGTAACTTTCTGACTTCACAGAACATTGTATCTGTTTTTGTTATTACATGCAACAAAATGCAAGTGGCTATTTTAGGCAAACATTCCAGTGAACAGTTTTCTGTTGTCAGACTTTTGTATTTTGTTTTTTGTATTTTGTTCTGCTTTTGTTAACATTAAGTTTGGAACTGGACAATTTGACCTTTTCAACCATTGCTTCCATTAGCTTTTACTGAGATGCTTGACATGATTCACAATGTCTCTCATTCATGTCAGCAGATATTCAGATAACCATTAGGTCATAGATCTAGCATGAAAACATTTCACCAACATCCTCACAAATCAAACATCCTGTCTCCAGGTCTTTGACCTCACTGGATTTCTGCTGTCCTGTAATAAATGTGTTGTTGCGTTGCGCAGGCTGGTCCATGGACGTGGTGCAGTTGTGTAAGAAGTATAAGGAGGATGGAGTGGTGGCTATTGATCTGGCAGGAGACGAGTCCCTCAACTGTGAGGCCTACCCAGGACACAGGATGGCCTATGAGGTAACTTACCACTGCCCAACTTTGAACCCTCGTGTCCAATTCATACTGTATGTGCTGTAGTCAACTCTTCCATGCATGATTCATGGCAATGATACAAGACAAGAGGTAGCCTCAGCAGGATATGAGGCTAACCACTGTCCTACTGAATGCTATCATGCAGCATACCATGCTCAGTTTAATGGCTTAAAAGGTGGGAGATCACCCTCCAACTTGCAGAAGAATTTAAAATCAAATCAAATTGTATTTGTCACATGCGCCGAATACAATAGGTATAGACCTTACAGTGAAATGCTTACTTACAAGCCCTTAACCAACAATGCAGTTTTTAAGAAAAAGTGTAAAGTAAAACATTGATAAGTACATATTAAAAAAGAAAAATAGAAAAATAACAATTAAAGAGCAGCAATAAAATAACAGTAGTGAGGCTATATACAGGGGGTACCGGTACAGAGTCAATGTGCGGGGGCACAGGTTAGTTGAGATAATTGAGGTAATATGTACATGTAGGTAGAGGTAAAGTGACTATGCATAGATAATAAACAGAGAGTAGCAGCAGCATACCAGGCGGTGATGCAATCAGTCAGGATGCTCTCGATGGTGCAGCTGTATAACTTTTTGAGGATCTGAGGACCCATGCCAAATCTTTTCAGTCTCCTGAGGGGGAATAGGCATTGTCATGCCCTCTTCACGACTATCTTGGTGTGTTTGGACCATGATAGTTTGGTGATGTTTGGTGATCCTCTGTAGCTCAATTGGTAGAGCATGGCGCTTGTAACGCCAGGGTAGTGGGTTCGATCCCCGGGACCACCCATGCATAAAAATGTATGCACACATGACTGTAAGTCGCTTTGGATAAAATCGTCTGCTAAATGGCATATTATTTATGTTCCACTACAGCCCCGTCGATGAGAATGGGGGCGTGCTCGGTCCTCTTCTTTTTCCTGTAGTTCCACAATCATCTCCTTTGTGTGGGGTTGTATCGAGCGAGAATGAAGGTGTGCTGAAAACACTATAAAAAGTATTCACATTTGACACGGTTGGCTACCCCTTGTCAGATAACAGCGTTAAAGTACAATCAATCTTTATTAGGCCTATTGCAGAACCGCAGACCTTAAAGGCCTACAATTGGTTGATTTTGTTTTATAACTAGCCAATAATTTGCAATAATTTTTATCATTATAACTCATTGATTAACTCTCTATACATATGTCCATACATGAAGGTCGCTTTAGAAAAACATTTGTTGGAGAGGTCTGCAATTTCTTGTAACAGAAAACTTGCTCAAGAACAATAAATTAATCAGTGAAACTATTCACAGTGTTCCTGATGACCAAATTTAGACTATTTGTCAAAAGTATGCCTCTGTTAAGTGTTTCAACCAAAAGTTGGCATAAGTAATTTCAACAAGCATTTTAGTTTGGACTGCGTAGTTTGTTCTATCTCTGGTGGTTCCGGATTTAAACACAGTTCCATTAATTCATTCCCCCAGGATAACATCTGGGAACACTGTGGTAAGGTCGACCAGAGGCTGAAGTGATAAATGTGGACATGTTAACATCTGTTTAAATGATTAGTTTGACTAAGGCCAGTTCCAAACACTATTATCTTAGTAGAGTGCAACTCTGATACTAATACAGACAGTTATCATGACTGCACAAGCTCTAGATCGGTGTCCTGGATTCGAAGCAGGGTTTTGTCAATGTTGGCGAGATGCAATTCTTACCAATCTAGCCTTTGGCAGAAAAAGAATGCCTACTCTTGACAGAAACATGAGCTCTTGGAATAATGTTGTGACTATGTTCATCCATGTATAATGACATCGTTTCAAAACAATGGAAGGTATTTCAGTCGGGACTAATTGTCAAATCCAGATGGTTCTCATATTAAGTTGGTGTTGATGTGAGTGACCTTGTTGACAGGAAGCAGAGAGATGTGGGATCCACAGAACAGTCCATGCTGGAGAGGTGGGCCCTGCCTCTGTGGTGAAAGAGGTGAGCTTCCCTTTCCTCAACAGCCTTTGGGGACCATTAAATATGTCTATGGCAGTTCAACTTGACCGAAGTCTTCCTCTACTTCAGCAACACATACGTCATTATAACGTCTCTCACTGAACTACATTATCATGTTATAAGTGACACTGCATTGTGAAAACATTTCTCCCCTCCCTTTTTATAAGAACGTAAATACGGTATGTATTTCAGATAGAAACAAGTAAACAACCGAGGACACAGAGCACACTAGTCTGTTCATCACTATCCAATTTCATGTCTCCTTGGAATTCTTCACTAGCCTATGTGAATTACTTTCTATGGAAGCCATCTTTCTAAAATGTCAGGGAACTATGCATCTAAAGACAGGGTGTTGCCAGGAATAGCCAGTAGTTCTGCTAACATGTGTACGTGAGATGATTTTGACGAAACTGCTTGATGACCCATATCTCATGTCTTCTTCAGGCTGTGGAGGTCCTGAAAGCAGAGAGAGTAGGACATGGTTACAACACGCTGGAGGACCAAGTGCTGTACAAACAACTCCTGGAGCAGAATATGCATTTTGAGGTAAGAACGTACACATTTATATTCACCTGTAATGTAAAGTAACATTGGACTTTATACACACATAATATTACATGATGTATGATCATACCTCATAGAACAAGGCAAATATATCCTACCATAGATTTAAAGATCCTACCATGAATGGAGAGGCGATAAAGGACACAGCGGATGCTTAAACCGACTAGGAAAAACCTAAAACTGACCCTTACCTTAACCAAATCCTTAACCCCGACCCTAACCTAATTTTAATACATTCTGAAATAAGATATCGGTTTGGGCATCAGGCGTGACCATGACTGCATGGCCAAGCACAACTCCAAAACCATCATTAAGTTTGCCGACGACTCAACAGTGGTAGGCCTGATCACCAACAACGATGAGACAGCCTACAGGGAGGAGGTCAGAGACCTGGCCGTGTGGTGCCAGGATAACAACCTCTCCCTCAACATGATCAAGACAAAGGAGATGATTGTGGACTACAGGAAAAGGAGGACCGAGCACGCCCCCATTCTCATCGACGGGGCTGTAGTGGAGCAGGTTGAGAGCTTCAAGTTCCTTGGTGTCCACATCACCAACAAACTATTATGGTCCAAACACACCAAGACAGTCATGAAGAGGGCACGACGAAGCCTATTCCCCCTCAGGAGACTGAAAAGATTTGCAATGGGTCTTCAGATCCTCAAAGAAATTATACAGCTGCACCATCGAGAGCATCCTGACTGGTTGCATCACCGCCTGGTATGGCAACTACTCGGCCTTCGACCGCAAGGCACTACAGAGGGTAGTGCATACGGCCCAGTACATCACTGGGGCCAAGCTTCCTGACATCCAGGACCTCTATACCAGGCGGTGTCAGAGGAAGGCCTTAAAAATTGTCAAAGACTCCAGCCACCCTAGTCATAGACTGTTCTCTCTGCTACCGCACGGCAAGCGGTACCGGAGCTACAAGTCTAGGTCCAAACGGCTTCTTAACAGCTTCTACCCCCAAGCCATACGACTCCTGAACAGCTAATAAAATGGCTACCCGGACTATTTGCATTGTCCCCCCACCCCCTCTTTTTACGCTGCTGCTACTCTGTTTATTATCTATGCATAGTCACTTTACCTCTAACTACATGTACATATTACCTCAATTACCTCGACTAACCTGTGCTCCCACACATTGACTCTGTACCGGTACCCCCTGTATATAGCCTCGCTACTGTAATTTTACTGCTGCTCTTTAATTATTTGTTATTTTTCTTAAATATTTTTTAATTTTTACTTATCAATTTTTTATTTAAGACATATTTTTCTTAACTGCATTGTCGGTTAAGGGCTTGTAAGTAAGCATTTCACTGTTGTATTTGGCCCATGTGACAAATAAAATTTGATTTGATTTTTGGTTAAAGCCTTTTCCTACCATGAAGTCCTCGGCAGCTAGTGCACAGTGACCTCTGGTGGTCAAGGAGAGACATTACACAAGTGTTGTGTCCAAATTAATTGCTCCTTTCGCCCAAAGGGTCTACAAGTTTACTTTCCATCTGGATTTTAAAGCTAATGACTGGTATATGGAAACTCTCATATCAATACAATGCTTTTAAACTTGTGGGGAGTAGTGAACGTGTGCACACTTCAGGAAGAAAGAGAAATGATTGGGACTTACAGCCTAGAATCTTGGCACACAAGGCTACTGTTCTGTAACAAAGGAATGCTGTGTGATTTCAGGTGTGTCCCATATCCAGCAAACTGACTGGAGCGTGTGATCCAGACTTCACCAAGCATCCTGTCATCACGTAAGCAGTCTTTCACTACTCATCATATTTAATGAATGATACTTCTTCTGATAAAGTTTCAACAACCCAATACCATAAAGATTATAACAGAATTTAGGGCGGCAGGTAGCTTAGTGGTTAAGAGCGTTGTGCCAGTAACCAAAAGGTCGCTGGTTCTAATCCCTGAGCCAACTAGGTGAAAAATCTGTCGATGTGCCCTTGAGCGAGGCACTTAACCCTAATTGCTCCTGTAAGTCGCTCTGGATAAGAGCGTCTGCTAAATGACCCCCAAAAAAAAAAAAAAGTTTCATTTTTGTTTGGGTTTACTTATCCCCTCTGAATGACGTGTGTGTATGTAGCTTCAGAAAGGATAAGGCCAACTACTCCCTGAACACAGACGACCCTTTGATTTTCAACTCCACCCTGCACTTAGACTACAGCACTGCCCAGAAGTACATGGGCTTCACCGAAGAGGAATTCAAGAGACTGGTAAGAAAACATTTCTGCCCTTCCCATTTGGTTGGCAGCTCAATACCGTTAAATATTTAGCCTGGTTGTTTCCCCTTGCTCTGCAAGGGTTGCGGCTTTTGTGGAGCGACGGGTAACTGTGCTTCGAGGGTGACTGTTGTCGATGTGTGCAGAGGGTCCCTGGTTCAAGCCCATGTAGGGGCGAGGAGAGGGACGGAAGCAACACTGTTACACCACTGGTGACAATACTACAGTATACTCTCCCATGATGGTTTAATGAGTCTCACGCACCTCGTTTTCAGAACATAAACTCTGCTAACTCCAGCTTCTTGCCTAAGAAGGAGAAGAAGGATCTTGTCAACACGTTGTATGAAGCCTATGGAATGGTGGAGAACACTGGCTTTTAAATGAAGCACTGATCAGAGCTGCAACACAACAACCCAGGCACCTACCACTTTGCCAAATAAGATAGCCTATAGGACCTATTTGAATCATCATGCCTACAACTTACTTCCCAGCTTTTATTTCATTCGGTGGAAATAGTTTTTACCCCACTTTTTTTTTTTTTTTAAATGGGCACGCTTCAGGTAAACCAGCTCAATACCAAAATTAAAATGTAAATGTAAATGTAAAATGTTCTAAACATTTAATATTGTTGTTGTAGTCCTAGTTATGAGCACTAGGTGGCAGACTATCTATTGCTGTACTGTTCTCACTGGGTGGAGAGTAAAGCCTACTGAAGTGGTCTTACCGTTTTTAGAATAACTTATGTATAATATGTTGTTCTCTGAGATAGAAAATTACAAAATGATTTACTCTAAATCTATTTTACTAATTGAAAAGCGGTTCCATTTAATAAATTGCTTCCGTGGAGGACAATGTTAAAATATGAGCAACATCTACAATAAAAACACTTTTGCATCTTAAAATAGTTGTCATTATTGAAGGAGTATCAGAATTAATTGCAATATGGACCTTACCTCACTGTTTAGTTCAAATGTAAAACCACTTATTGAGTAGCAGCTCTTACGGAGATGCAGATCTTACGGAGATGCAGATCTTACGGAGATGCAGATCTTACGGAGATGCAGATCTTACGGAGATGCAGATCTTACGGAGATGCAGATCTTACGGAGAAGCAGATCTTACGGAGATGCAGATCTTACGGAGAAGCAGATCTTAGAGAGCAACAGATCTTACGGAGATGCAGATCTTACGGAGATGCAGATCTTACGGAGATGCAGATCTTACGGAGATGCAGATCTTACGGAGATGCAGATCTTACGGAGAAGCAGATCTTACGGAGAAGCAGATCTTACGGAGATGCAGATCTTACTGGAAAAGCACACACACTGGACCCAGGAACATGAAGAGCTTGCTCATGAGTACCACTTCACTCAAACATCCCACTTCTTCTCCTTTATCAAAAAAAAAACTAATGGAAGTGCAAGGGTGCCTTCCTATATGCTGTACATTGGCTTCCTGTGACCACTCCATTGTACACAAAACTGCATTAGGACATATTAATGATAACTGCAGATATTCAACTTCCATCAGTCATGGGTGTCTGAACGGGCACTTCTGGCAAACGTCAGTGTTTCAGTGTTTTAAAAAAAAATCAATAGAAAACTGCACATCTACTTGAGAACTAAATAATTCCCACTAGCAGTATTCTGACCACTGAAAGTACAAGTTCTGACCACAGACTGTACCTTCACTGAAGGAAATGAAAGTCTCCAGGAGTGCCTCAGGTAGCCTATTAATAGCAATGGAAATCTGAAGATGAGATTAGTTGTGCCAACAGCAAAAGTATGCACATACCATAACAAAAACAACTGTTACAGAAGATAGATATTATACATTTTATTACAGAAAAGAAATTACTATTACAAAGGTATCAAAGAACCATTTGAAATAAATATGATCCTACAATTCCATTGTAATTCCAACTAATGTGTTATTGTAAGGTAAAAGAATGACAAATGAAAACTGGGTCACAAACGTACAAAAAGAAAAAGGACAAACATGATTATAGATTCTGTGCAGCTCTTGTTTTTGATGAGAGTTCCACGTTAGGTTTGGAACAACAGCATTTCATTCTAAGAAAGAATAGTGTTCAGTACATCTGGAGAGACATAGATCCAAAGTTCGGTGCGTTCTCATAGTGATATGAGAACATTTCCTTTACCACCGTAGCCCAGCAGCACCTCTAGGCCAAGATCAGATGTAGTCCTACTTGTCAACAACTGTTCTGTCAACTACGTTTCCCACAATGCCAATTGAAAAAGGAGAAGCTACACAGTGAGAGAAGATGTCATCACTGTTGTTGTCATCACTGTTGAGCTAGGAGAGGAGTATGGTCCAGTCAGGTAGGACATTCAGGAGATCCTCTCTCTGTCTTATTCTGTCCCTTCTTCTCAGTGTCCCGCTCTCCTCTGAGGTGGTTTAGGATGGACCCTCGCCTCCCTGGGCCTCTTGGCTGGTCGACCCTTCACCCTTAGGGGCTGGTGATGCACCAGAGTCTCCTTCTGAAAGACATGGGAAACATGGTCCATTAAAAACAAAGCATGTGCCCACAAGTGTCAACAGATTGGAGATGGCTTGGGAGAGAAGGCAGGGGGGTAATCAAATCAAATTTTATTTGCCACATGCGCCGAGGTGTAGAAAGGTGTAGACATTACAGTGAAATGCTTACTTACAGCCCTTAACCAACAATGCATTTATTTCTTAATAAAAAAGTAAAATATAAAACAACAACAAAAAGTGTTGAGAAAAAAAGATCAGAAGTAAAATAAAATAACAGTAGGGAGGCTATAGACAGGGGGGTACCGGTGCAGAGTCAATGTGCGGGGGCACCGGCTAGTTGAGGTAATATGTACATTTGGGTAGAGTTAAAGTGACTATGCATAAATAATTAACAGAGTAGCAGCAGCGTAAAAAGATGGGGTGGGGGTGCAAATAGTCTGGGTAGCCATGATTAGCTGTTCAGGAGTCTTATGGCTTGGGGGTAAGAAGCTGTTGAGAAGCCTTTTGGACCTAGACTTGGCGCTCCGGTACCACTTGCCGTGCGGTAGCATAGAGAACAGTCTATGACTAGGGTGGCTAGAGTCTTTGACAATTTTGAGGGCCTTCCTCTGTCACCGCCTGGTATAGAGGTCCTGGATGGGAGGAAGCTTGGCCCCAGTGATGTACTGGGCCGTACGCACTACCCTCTGTAGTGCCTTGTGGTCGGAGGCCGAGCAGTTGCCATACCAGGCGGTGATGCAACCAGTCAGGATGCTCTCGATAGTGCAGCTGTATAACCTTTTGAGGATCTGAGGACCCATGCCAAATCTTTTCAGTCTCCTGAGGGGGAATAGGCTTTGTCGTGCCCTCTTCACGACTGTCTTGGTGTGTTTGGACCATGATAGTTCGTTGGTGATGTGGACACCAAGGAACTTGAAGCTCCCAACCTGTTCCACTACAGCCCTGTCGATGAGAATGGGGGCGTGCTCAGTCCTCTATTTTTTTCCTGTAGTCCACAATCATCTCCTTTGTCTTGGTCACGTTGAGGGAGAGGTTGTTATCCTGGCACCACACGGCCAGGTCTCTGACCTCCTCCCTATAGGCTGTCTCATCGTTGTCTGTGATCAGGCCTACCACTGTTGTGTCGTCGGCAAACTTAATGATGGTGTTGGAGTCTGGCCTGGCCATGCAGTCATGGGTGAACAGGGAGTACAGGAGGGGACTGAGCACGCACCCCTGAGGGGCCCCCGTGTTGAGGATCAGCGTGGCAGATGTGTTGTTACCTACGCTTACCACCTGGGGGCGGCCCGTCAGGAAGTCCAGGATCCAGTTTCAGATGGAGGTGTTTAGTCCCAGGATCCTTAGCTTAGTGATGAGCTTTGAGGGCACTATGGTGTTGAACGCTGAGCTGTAGTCAATGAATAGCATTCTCACGTAGGTGTTCCTCTTGTCCAGGTGGGAAAGGGCAGTGTGGAGTGCAATAGAGATTGCATCATCTGTGGATCTGTTGGGGCGGTATGCAAATTGGAGTGGGTCCAGGGTTTCTGGGATAATGGTGTTGATGTGAGCCATGACCAGCCTTTCAAAGCACTTCATGGCTACAGACGTCACTGCTACGGGTCGGTAGTCATTTAGGCAGGTTATCTTAGTGTCCTTGGGCACGGGGACTATGGTGGTCTGCTTGAAACATGTTGGTATTACAGACTCAGTCAGGGACATGTTGAAAATGTGGGTGAAGACACTTGCCAGTTGGTCAGCACATGCTCGGAGTACACGTCCTGGTAATCCGTCTGAATGTTGACCTGCTTAAAAGTCTTACTCACATCGGCTACGGAGAGCGTGATCACATAGTCATCCGGAACCGCTGGTGCTCTCATGCATGCATGCTGACTAAGTGGATAAAGATGTAGAACACAGACACCTGGCTATATAGCATATGCGCTCACCCGCCGCCTTCAGGTCCATCCCTTCCATGTCTTTGGTTAATTCACTGGTGCTGGCTGCTGCCCCCTGTCCCTGGATGTCAGGTACTGCGTTCCTGCGGCCTGTACGATCACAGTTGATGAAGTCAGAGTATGGCGTTGTTGTCTCCACATCCATCATCTGTCCATGACCAGACACCTCATTACACCTGCAGAGAGAGGGATAGGATAGGATTCACTTTAATGTCCCAAGGGGAAAATTGTCTCAGACACACAGTACTGCTGTATACAAAATAGACACTGTACATTACACACATTGCACATTACCCTCATCATGATACACTTCTCATACAACCACATACAGAATACTTTGCATATTCCCTAAGCTCACCCTTACTTATTGCTGGTTAGGTATTAGATGGACATGGGAATGAAGGAGTGCTTATACCTGTTCAGCTTACATGTGGGGACCCTACAGCGTCTGCCTGAGTGGAGGAGGGACCCTACAGCATCTGCCTGAGGGGAGGAGGGACCCTACAGCGTCTGCCTGAGGGGAGGAGGGACCCTATACTCAGAGTAAAGTACATGGGAGGGATCTGATCTGAAATCATTTTCTGCGCTTGTCTGATGGAGAGAGGGTGATGGAGAGGGAGAGCGTTACTGAGGCCAACAAAACCAAGCTGAGCTAAACCAAGCTGGAACTGTGGAAAAAAGGGAAATATAATAAATAAATATTTGAGGCACCACAATTCTGTTCGGGTTGACACGACAGTGTGAGGGGTATGACCATCTCAACATTGAGCCATACAAGTCTGTACCATATCCAGAGCTCAGAGTTCACTGTGAAATAATTCATTATTGTCCTTTCTATTTCTGCACAGTGTGCTAATGGAGCTAGCGTCAGTGCTAATCTGCCAACCTAATTACAAGTTATTTATTTTCAAACTGAGTGTTTATCGAGGACTCAAACCCTTCTCTCAACTTTGCTTGTCTAAAAACTACTCACATGAACACTGCAAGCTTACAGGACATTCTTTATACACAATAAGGATATTTTATAGGAGTAAAAGCACAAGAAGTGATCACTATGAACCAAAGTGTCTAACTGTGCTTATAAAGCCTTTCAAAAGGGCAGAGGCCGACCGGGGGAGAGAGAAAAGAGAAAAGCGTATTGAGCTCAGCTCACATTAGCTATTCATTCCTCCCTGCTCGGTCTTCCTCTTCTAAGCCCACATTTAATTGGGTCATGGATCTTGCCAGGGACTACAACACTATACAGCTAGCTGGTGGTTTCAGGAGAACAGGGGGGCTGAGAAGAATAAATGCTGCTCCAAAAAGAAAAGACAATCTGTTCCTTTTAAAAGTAGGGCCTTCCTCTGGAAAAGAGATGAGGGAGAGAATCTATTAGCTGTTTAAACCAGGCCGAACACTGCACTCACCATTGTTTGAAACAGTGACACGTAGCAAAATAATTTGTATGCCAGGCTAGGAATCTGTCTGACAATTATAGGCAGCTGGACAAGTGGACATATCCTACTCCAGCAATCGACAACTTCCCTCCCCCTCCAACCGCCATTAAGAATCGGTCATGGCTTGCTCAAAGCCTCAACATGGCATGGCCAACAGCATTACAAAGAGTTGATAAAACATCTGAACATCAACTAGAGCATAAGTGCTACATAATCTGATAGTCAAGGTCACATCGCCATAGATAAGCTACTTAGACAAAACAGATGGACAAAGCCCTGAAACACAAAGAATGGAGAAAGACAAAGTTGGCAGCCAAAGCTAGGCCTTCTCTCGCTTAGGCATTGACACAGTAACCCAGGGTCGGGTGGTTCCCAAACACAGAATGATGCCGAGACTCAGATGTTTTATTTAAAATGTCAAACAAAAACCAATGGTTGCAAAGTTAAACACACCATACAAATCTATGCACAATGACTACTTTTAACCATTTCCACTGAACACTTGACAAAAAGCCATTTACTTGAACAGTGCAGATGCAATGTTTGGTAACTGAATGACACCACAAACTGGCATTCTGTTACCAAATTAACACTGTTCTTCAATTAAATGTGTTTTTGTAAAAATGTCAGTGGAAATTGTTAAAAGTAGAGTTGTATAGTTTGTTTAACTTTGCAATCATAGGTTTTTGTTTGGCATACATTTTAAAGTGAAAAATCGGTCTCAGCTTCATTCCATTACCGTGGACTTGCCCTTATAGCACCATAGCTTAATGGCATACAGGGCTGCAAGTTCATGCACAGCTTTACATTAGAAAAAGCGAGAAACATCCACTCATCTATTTTCTCTGCAGACAGAAATCCTGTTTTAATGTACGTTAGACCAACATTACAAACTAGCTAATGAATTATGTTTGGTTGTTATAGTCTGCCTAGCGACAGTGTATGGGACCTTTCTTATCTAATTACCATTCTGTGGTCTAATGAGGTCTTGCCCAAACACACAGGAATGCACACACACACACACACACACACACACACGATAACTCTGCTGTGCTCTATACTACAGCCTCCCGCCGCTGTGGAGGAACGCTGCAGCATCTTATTGAAACTACTGTGTGTGGTGTCCATCTACATACACGTGATATAATGTATGGCACGGACTGCTTGAGGCAAGCAGGTTGCTAATGTAACTAGGGCTGGGCGATATATATATAATTAATTTGATTAGTTCGAATTTATGTTTTAGCGCAATATTCCAAATGCCTGTATCGCAGAATCAAGTTGTGTATTTTTCGTTATTATGAGCGTTTGTCCGCTTGTTCTCATGTCTTTTTGGTCTCGTCTCATTCGCTCCTTCTGTACTGTGCACCTTCCCATTTACACCAGAGATCTGTATATAATGACGAGATGTTCATGTCTCCGCCCTAACAATGGGAGTCGTTGTCCCAAAGGCGGGAAGACAGGCGACAAGGTCCAAAATAAGCGCATTGGTCTTATTTTGGACACCTTTTGGCGAGAGTGAAACCTCTCGCTTCGCCTCTTTCTCCCAAGCCCCTCCCCCTACCACTCACAACAACAAATATGAGAGATCACTTCTTCCTCTCTGACAAATGGTTTCAACTCGCTATTTGCATTTGAGATTTGGTCCAACAGAATCGGTTATATGGACACCGAAACGCATGGAGACATTTTACTGTAATAGAGGAGAAGTTAACCTTTCGAACCATACCCTGTTTATGTTTCAAGTACTCAAAATGTTGAGTAGAGCAGACACTACTAAAACGTACCAATGAACAATCATTCTGGAAAATGTATGCTCAGTTTGTCGCGCGCGCATTACGGAACCACATATCGCTAGCAGCATTTTAGTAAAATAAAGACTGTTATACTAGCTGTTTAGTCTGTTTTATAAATGTATATTATGCATAAAACAATTATATAAAGTAATTGGCAACTCTTTTTCATTCTGAGAAATAAGGTAGGTCACTTGATTTCAACATCTGAGCAAAGTGGACAGGCTTGCATGCTGTTCAAACAGTTGAGACAGACAGAAGGTTGTGTTCATAACAACTCAACTGTTTTGCCTTGTTAGCTGAATTCAGAGCTTGTGAAATTATACCTAGATTCAAATTGGCTAAACTTGAAATATAAATATTAGCTGGCTACATTTTTTCACATTTACATTTTTGTCATTGCTACTCACTAGCACGTGGGCTTGTGCTTGAGAGATTGTTTATGAGACCGGTGTTAATTTTCTATGCTGTCTGCTACATTATTAGTGAATGTGCATTATGCATGGTTCTGGTTAAATTTGTTACAAAAAGGTCATTTTATAGACAGACCTGAAAGCCAGATCAGTGATTATTGCAAAAAAGCAGGAACAACTATTTTGATCAAATAATAACATTATTAGTGGGTCTTATGGTTGTGGAATACTTACAGTTCCAGTCAAAAGTTTGGACACACCTACTCATTCAAGGGTTTTTCTTTATTTTTACTATTTTCTACATTGTAGAATAATAATGAAGACATGAAAACTATTAGCCAATCAGTTGTGTTGTGAAAAGGTAGGGTTGGTATACAGAAGATAGCCATATTTGGTAAAATACCATATTATGGCAAGAACAGCTCAAATAAGCAAAGAGAAACGACAGTCCATCATTACTTTAATACATCAAGGTCAGTCAATCCGGGAAATTTCAAGTTCCTTCAAGTGCAGTCGCAAAAACCATCAAGCGCTATGATAATTGGTTCTCATGAGGACCGCCACAGGAAAGGAAGACCCAGAGTTACCTCTGCTGCAGAGGGTAAGTTCATTAGAGTTAACAGCACCTCAGATTGCAGCCCAAATAAATGCTTCAGAGTTCAAGTAACAGACATCTCAACATCAACTGTTCAGAGGAGACTGTGTGAATAAGGACTTCATCATCAATTTGCTGCAAAGAAACCACTACTAAAGGACACCAACAAGAAGAACAGAGACTTGCTTGGGCCAAGAAACAAGGCAAAGGGTGGCTACTTTGAAGAATCTCAAATATAAAATATATTTTGATTTGTTTAACACTTTTTTGGTTCCTACATTATTCCATGTGTTATTTCATAGTTTTGATGTCTTCATTATTATTCGACAATGTAGAAAATAGTAAAAATAAAGAAAAACCCTGGAGTGAGTAGGTGTCCAAACATTTGACTGGTACTGTATATTCAGCCTAGGTATAATTTCACAAGCTCTGAATTAATTAGATTATTGCTGACTGTTTTAAAATGCAGTGTATTTGTCCTTTAAATTGTACGTCAAATCTTAGATAAAAAAATGTTTTTATCGTGAATTGGCCATAAGTTTTTATATATGACTTTTAGGCCATATCGTCCAGCCCTAACTGTAACCAGGTTTAACCTCAGTTTACCACTTGACTTTACAGTCTATGGTTGAAGTTTGTTTTCCCAGTGCCATAAGTTACAGTTTAAAAGTCACAATGGTAACTCAATATATTAGCCAACAGACCGCTTCATAAAGGAGGCTCTATGACCTGTAAGGGCAGAGCAGGAGAGGAAACTGGACCCAGCAGCAGCTTCTAAACACTACCAAAGGAATGTCACAGGTGTGCTTTCAGCCCAGACAAACGCCTCCTTAATCCTCTACAGGAAATCATTACACTACAGTACAATAAGTGACCTGTTAGTTTAGCACCTCTAGACACAGTGTCTT